ACAAATTGGAGGAGAAGCTCGGCCAAACACCAACATAAGTGTAAGCGCCAATCTATTATTATTATTACTATATTATTACAAAAGAGATAAAGGATTTTTTATTAAAAGTCTTAAAAAATTTTAAATTTTTGTTTGTGAAAGGGTATAAACTAAAAACTAATATTATTTAATTTTACATGCGTAGAGGCGTACAAAAGAATCATCGATAGTCGCCATCAACCATCGATGTTTGGCAAAAATGCAAAAACATCGACTGTGCAGCGAACAAAGGTGGCGCCGTCAGTGATACCGCTACTTTGGTTTTGCCAATTTGGACAGTTGTGGTAACTAGTAAATAAACCGTTGTTTACAAATCAGCGGCAAAGAGAAGTTTGAATTATAAGTAAGGTGACCATAAATATATTTTGAAAATGCAGGACACTTTTTCAAAAAATTTACATACATATAATTTCGTAGTATAAAAATAACAAAAATATACTACATATATACATTCCTCGTCATTTAAATAGCGCACTCTATTTTTTGGTTTTCTACCATACAAAGTATGCTTGACAAAATTTTTATATGGAAGAAAATGCGCAGCACCGTCAACAAAAAAAAATTTCGCCCCTATGTTTATTTTTTTTTTAATTTTCAAAAAATTTTTAAAATGGGATGTGGACGTAGAATATGCTATATTTTTATAAAAATTTAATGAATATTAAACAAACAAAAGGAAAACTGTACCTCCTAAGCATTAAAAGGACGCGCTATTCAAATAACGAAGAGTGTATATTCCAATCCAATAAGATTGTATCCAATATTAAACTTTAAACATAAATCACATTTGATTCATTGGTATTAATCTTTTAGTATTGAATATTTACAAAATTATAATAAGGCATATTACATATTACTTTACACGAAATATGAACCTCTGTAAAGTAAATTTTTTAGGCAAACTTTGGGTCGTTGAACACGAAAAAAATAACCATGGTTTCAAAGAAGTGTTTTCGAGATTTGTTCGAAAAACGTATTTTTAGTACTTTTTCAGTTATTCCTCAATATCTCATGAAACGACCAACAGTTCGAAAGGTATTGATGGGCTCTTTGCAAAAATATATATTTTTTGTGCCGATTGTATTCCGTAACATATCCATTTCTCATCAGATTTTCATTTACTGTAAAAAGAAAATAATGGAAATTTCAATTTTTCGATTTTGGTCCGTTCTAACACTAATAATTTTCATCGAAATCGGCAAGTAATATATTTTTGTAAGAGGACTGTAGGTCGATTATGTTTATTGGATAATTTTTCCATGAGATATTGACGAAAAGGTTCGAAATGTACCAAAAACACGTTTTTCGAAAAAATTACGAAAACGCTTGTTCGAAAGGAAAATTGGCTTAGAAAATATTTTTTTTCTTAAGCGTTTACCACAAAATTTGTAGAACAGTGTTATCGATATATTTGATGCTGGTCTTCAATTTCTCGTCATCCATTGTCCATAACCGTACAATATTTAGAACGCATTGACTAGTTGAACCTTTAAAACCAGCTTACCCTTATGTAGTTATCAATTAGTTATCGACACTGCTTTTATTTCGATTAGGAAAACTTAATTTTAAAATATCGAAGAAAATGCGGGACAAAGGCAGGACACTTGGAAAAAATCACTACATTTTGGGGGTTTTCTGTTTTGAAAACCTACGCAGGACAGACCTTTAAATAACAGTACGGTCCTGCAAAAAACAGAACGGATGGTCACCGTAACAATAAGTGAAAAATCAGTTTAAATTGTGTTAATTTGCAATTGGTGAGTGATTTTCGAGTTGAAGGCTGCGTAAAAACCATGATTCAATAATACAAGGTTAGATAATTATTGACAGCTGCGGTTTGACACACCCTTACAAAAGGTTGCATTTACGAAGGACAGAGAAAGGGCAAGAATGCAATCCCTTGTTTCCAAAATAGTAGTAGAAAAGTACGCAAAGTAGGCAATTAGTAGTGAAATTCCTTTCGTAAATTCTAATGTGTTTGCAGGAAATCTGGCATTTTAAACGAAATGTTGAACGTAATATTGGTATATCTACGTGACTTACGTAATTTATATGCTATTTAGCCGTATAAAAACTGCAAAATGACTCAAAATTAAAGTAAGACTACTATGAGATTGATGTAAACATCCAATGCTTAGGTTTTCATCAGTTAAATATGCTTCATATGCATATACAAATAAGCATATTGCACAAAAGCGTATACTTTTATTTCACACCAAAGCTACACTGTTTCTATGTAAATTTGCAAAGAAGCAACACGGTGCCACTGCTAAGGGAGCGGTACGAGAGAGACAACTGTCAGTTTATCGAAACTTGTATTATTGAATCATGCGTAAAAACTAATAAAATGAAGCGCCGTGTGTTAAATTGCGACAGCCGTCAAGATGCAAAATGCGTAGATGCAAGTGTAGCGCTGCGACGAATCGCTGCATTGTGTGTACATATATAGGGCGCGCCAAAGCCGTTCCCGAAATGTTTCTTCATTATTATATTGACAACATTTCATCACAATGATTTCGCTTCTGCTCCAAGCAGCCTAAGTTTGCAAGTTAACTAAGGTGGGTGTTATGCAGGCAAACTTTTGTTTGGCAATTAAACGGCATCTGCTTAGTTTTCTCTGAGGTGGTTTCGTCGAGTTTGGCACAAGGTTGCACATTGGTTGTGGTTTTTATGCTTTACTGCCATGAAAATTGTATATGTATGTACATATCGTGATATCGTAATATTTTTTATAATATTGTATAGGCAATTAACTGTGCCCTAAACTTTGAAACTCCTACAGCATACATTCACTTCTCGGTCTTTTAGGGCCGGTTAATCAATGTCTGGTTAACACTAATCTGAGGTTAAATATCGTTATCGACGTCTTCGGCTCTATGCATGCAACAGGGAGTTGGTAACGTCGATAACTACGTTTAACCGGAGATTAGTGTTAACAAGACATTGAGTAACCGGCCCTTAGGGCCTGTGTAGACAAGTTGGCAACCTAAAATGCGATTTCATTTTTTTAAAGGCGCATTAACCATGATACAAAAATTTGAATGTAAAATCGCTGAGAGGCAGCCTGAACATTTTTGAAGTTTGCTAACATAACAAAAATGTTTTCAAATTTTCAATCTCAAAAATACATTCTCATTCTCTGTCTCAAATAAAAGGAAATTCGAATATTTTCATCTATTTGTTTTATGTCTTACTTTTATTTGGCATTTGGCATTTCAAAATTTCAATTTTATAAAGTAGACAAACTTCAAAAAATAAATGATGGCCGAAGAATGGAACGAGCGATTTTACCTTTAAATATTTGTATCATGGCAATAACGTTAACATGTGTTTTGCGGTTCATTTCGCTAGTAAAAATGGGTATAATTTGTGAAAAACGGAGTGGTAGCAATAATAAATACATAAAAATTACAAGCATTCCTAGCGTAGCTTAAAACTTTACCGGTGGTGTTGTGAAGTAGGGTGGTCAACTGGTTAGCCGATAAATGAATGCGTATCTTCCATCATGATGATTTAATATCATACATGACTGATAGCTTGGGCGCTACATAGCGTCAGTCAAACTGCTAAATTCTTGACTGACAAACTTGATGGACAATGTGTACCGAACATATGTGTGCTGTTGGCCTAATTATTCTGGCAAGTTATCTTGCATTTTTTTGTGCTGAGGCAACCCTCGTAGTGCACTGCATCCGCTACATGTTGCACTTAAAAGCTTGACGTTTCCCACATTGCCGTCCAGTGTGACCAGGATAATCTTTTGACCATGATTCAATTTTCAATTGTTGAATCATGATTTTGACTTCGCGACTTTTTTCTGGCCCTTATATAGGCTGACTTCCAAAACGTCAGTTGGATTGCATTAGTACAAAGTTTAATGTTCCAAAACGCCGAACTACAATTGGTTGACAAGGTATACTTTTCCGAAACGCATCCGAAAAGTTATCGAAACGTATCGCTAGAGTAATCAGCGCACCAGAAACAAAGTTGATGCTTCGTTTGGTTTTGGTTACCATTTGTCTTCTAAAAATGGAAAATTCCGAAATGATCATTGTTTTATTAAATATTCGAAATATGCAATGTATATGGTTGCAATGTTTCGCAACGCTGTATATACAAACAGTTTGAATACCGCAATAGAACAGTATCCAAACATTGCATTGATACGTTTTAGAAGTCAGCCATACTTATACCTTGGTTATAATGCACGGGGCGAATCGTAACAAATCGCGGCCAGTTCGTAAGGATCTATTGATTTTAGATACTTCCGTTTTACATTGCGTTCAAGTGCATTATAATCGTTTGAAGTCATTGCCCATACAATAGATAATTAAGTAACAGTTCACTTCGTTTCCACTTCCTTCCTTTCGTTTACTTCCATTATAATCCAGGCATTAATATATTCATAATAAAATTCGGTTTGCAACTTATTAAGGTACCATTTCTTTAAGAAAATACTTGGGTACCTTTTTTGCACAGGTTTGTTAGAAAATAATAAATTTTGCTTAGCTTGTAGTAATTTAGCCGTTATTAGCCTAATATATATTATTTTATGTTTCGGTGAGAAGGATTTAAAGAATATCGATTTTCCAGGACTTAAGGTTTGTTTTCACTATGTCATATTTTGCCAAACAAATATTGGCAACATATTTTGACACAACTTTGTCTTCTGTTTTCATACCTTTACCGATTATATATAGGACCAAAAAAGGACAGTTAGCCAATTTAGTAGCACATGTACACGACTGAATACCTATTCTGATCTAAATCAATGGGTAAACCTTTTTTTAGTTCCATTTGACAATGTGTTTTCACCTATTTGACGGCACATGCCATTGAATTTGACATAGTGAAAACCAGCCTTTATCGAGAGATCGATAACATTCTGACTTCTTTTTAACTTTATTTTCCAAATGGAGTTATAATACCCTTTTCTAACCTTTTTTCAAAACCCAATTAGGTTCGCTTTTTGGTATCCTCTGGTTACACTGTTTCAGTCCACATCAGCTGAAGTACGTAGATTAGCAACGAGGTGCACTTTCATTAGGTTTTTTAGCGACTAATTTCCAACCAAAAGCTCAACAATCCGATTGATTGTGCAGTTTATCACAGTGAAGTAGGTATCAATTTTCTACAACTTAATGCTTTAAATAATTTGCATATTTTCTTCAAGTAGCATAATGACAGATCAGGAGCTGCTCTCACAATTCCAGTCGCTCGGTATGAGTGAGCAAAAGGCCAAAGAAACTCTGAAGAACGCAAATGTTACCAAGAATTTGCAACTCGCATTGACTGAAGTGAAAGGCGCACCTCTCGGCGATGGCGTGGGCATGCTGCTTTATCATGTGGCTAGTAAAATGAAGCCGCAAGTAGCTCACGAGCTTCCATTACTCGCCCGATATATCGTGGAACGCAAATTAGACAGCACATTAAGAGTGGATGCCGCAATTGAATATATTTTGAAGAATGTTCAAAAGAAAGGTGCGTCCCTTAACAAACAAGAATTCGAAGAGGCGTGTGGAGTCGGAGTGGTCGTGACACCCGAAGAAATCGAACGCGTTGTACAAGAGCAAGTAAAGTTGCATAAAGATGCGCTGCTGGAACAGCGTTATCATTTCAACGCATTCAAAATTATGCAAGACGTACGTGCGCAACTCAAATGGGCAGACGCTAAATCGGTAAAGTCGGCTATTGATGTAGAAATTTTTGATTTGCTCGGCCCAAAAACTGATGAAGATTTGAAGCCTCTACCCAAAACTGAAAAAAAGAAAGACAAAGCAAAAGTGACGCCAGCTGATAAAACTAGTAACACCAGCAATGGAAATGCGTTAATTACAGATAGTGCTGATGCGGATAGCAACGATGGTGCTAATACCATAGCCGAACTGATGAAAACGAAAGTACATTTCCATATACCAGGGGAAAACTACAAAACTGATGGATATATAGTAACGGAACACACAGAACGTCTACTAAAAGAACATTTAAAGCAAACTGGTGGTCGAGTGCAAACACGTTTTCCTCCAGAACCAAATGGTATTCTACATATTGGGCATGCAAAAGCGATTAACATCAATTTTGGCTATGCTGCTTCAAAGGGTGGCGTTTGCTATCTGCGCTATGACGATACTAACCCTGAGAAAGAGGAAGAGAAATTTTTTGTAGGCATACGCGATATGGTCGAATGGCTGGGCTATAAACCGTACAAAATTACACACTCGTCAGACAACTTCCAGCAACTGTATGAGTGGGCGGTTGTGCTGATACGCAAGGGTTTGGCGTACGTTTGCCACCAAGGTGCAGATGAGATGAAAGGATTCAATCCGAAACCGAGTCCCTGGCGTGAACGGCCAATCGAAGAGTCATTGCAACTTTTCGAAGATATGAAAAATGGAAAAATAGATGAGGGCTCAGCAACGCTACGTTTGAAACTAACTTTGGAGGAAGGTAAAGTCGATCCTGTTGCTTATCGCATTAAATTCATACCGCATCATCGCACTGGGAATGACTGGTAAGTTTACACTCCTTTAGAATTTTTTATCGACATACTCGTTAACATAAATAACATAAATCGTTTGTCATAGGTGTATTTATCCTACATATGACTACACTCACTGCCTCTGTGATTCTATCGAAAATATTACTCATTCACTATGTACTAAAGAGTTCCAATCACGCCGTTCTTCCTATTATTGGCTCTGCAACGCTCTGGATATCTACTGTCCCGTTCAGTGGGAATATGGTCGCCTTAATATGAACTATGCGCTAGTCTCTAAGCGTAAAATTAATAAGCTTATTACCGAACGTATTGTAAGCGACTGGGATGATCCACGCTTATTCACGTTGACTGCTTTGCGCCGTAGAGGATATCCTGCAGAAGCAATCAATAACTTTTGCGCACAAATGGGTGTCACAGGCGCGCAAATTTCTGTGGATCCCAGCATGCTAGAGGCAGCAGTTCGCGATGTACTCAATGTGAGCGCACCACGGCGGCTTGTCGTTCTTGAACCCCTGAAGATAACGCTCGCCAACTTCCCACATGAAAAGCCCATAGAAATAGAAGTACCTAACTTTCCACAGAATCCTGAATTGGGCAGCCATCGCATAGTACTGGATCGCATAATCTTCATTGAACAAAGTGACTTTAAGCTAGAGCCTGAAAAGGGATATCGCCGACTAGCACTAAACCAAACTGTTGGTTTGCGTCATGCTGGCTTAGTCATTTCTGTAAAAGAAGTTAAACGAAATCCACAAACCGGTGAAATTTCAGAACTAATCTGTGAATGTACGCCAGCTGAACAAGCAGAAAAGCCCAAGGCATTTATACAATGGGTTTCACAGCCAATCAAATTGGAAGTGAGGCTCTATGAAAGATTGTTCAAGCACAAGAACCCTGAAGACCCCAACGAAGTGCCCGGTGGTTTCCTCTCAGATATCAATGAAGATTCTTTAGTTATATTAGAAGCATATGCTGATCGTGCACTATCCAGCGTTGAAGTGTATGAAAAATTCCAGTTCGAACGAATTGGTTTTTTTTCAGTAGATCCGGACACTACCACAGATCACATTGTTTTCAATCGTACAGTGGGTTTGAAAGAAGACGCTGGCAAGAAATGAATGCTCAAATAAGGCAAAAGATGCCTTTGTAAAAATACAGTTACTGTTATGTATTTAAAAAAGAATGGCTATTTATAAAATCTTTTAATTTCATAAAAAAAAAATAAAAACAATTACAACCAAGCCTACTTTGGTGTTTTACTTCTTTAGATTAAACTCAAATTTATTTTTTTCCTTCCACCATTATGATGTGGTAGCCAAATTTCGTCTTTATGGGAGGATCTGTGTAGATTGGATTATTTACATTCGAAATGGGAAGCGCAAAGGCAGCATCTTGGAAAGGTCCTACCATAGCACCACGAATTTGCCAACCTAAGTCGCCACCTTGACGGGCTTTATCTTCGCTGTAAGCGGCCGCTACTTCGGGAAACTTTTGACCAGCTTTAAGCTTTTCCAAGGCTTCAAGTATCTTGCCTTGTTTTTCGCAAAGGATATGTCGGACTTTGACAGCATTGCCGCCCTTCTTTTCCTTACCTGCCGGATTAAGCAAAGACTCATATAAACACTCTACCTAATAATTGAAAGTAAAGTACATATTTACCTTTTTCTTCACCGGCAGCACCACCCCCTTTTTTGCTACCTGACGCTTTGCTATCCTTACTACCGCCTTTTCCATCTTTTTTTGGTGGCATTTTATAAATTGTTTACGTTGTTTAACCCGGCCGCATTAAGAAATGAGATATGCTAGAACCGAGACATATATGTAAAATTTAGGTTAGATTTCAGTACTGCTGACAGCTGGTTTTAAGAGCTGCCATGTTCCGCGAAAAAGCTGATTTAACGAAAGTGGGAAATTGCAATGCACCCTACATTCCAACAATTGGTGTGTATACAAAATAGATTTAGTGAATACCATTTAAATACTTTTCTTCGTTTTTGGTTGTTGTTGTTGTTGTTGTCGTTGTCGCGGCTACAACAACCCGGGCCAGATCGGTTAGTCCCTCAATCGTTGTCATCAAGCTCTACTAGCGATAGACCCAGGAAGCGTGCACCCTCGATGGGGTATGTCTGGGGCATGCAAAGATATACTTTGAGTCATGGGGCGTCTATACGAATGCCGGGCAGTCGTTTAACACTTCTTTATTTTTTCTGATCAGCTACGATTTCACTCTGCTTCATTAAACAGAGCGCAGTTGGGTTATTGTGGTCCGAGTCTCCCGAGCAGACGAAGTTCTGTCGCGTCCACGTCTGGTGGTTGTATGTCTAGAACAAGTCGAGAGTCTATATAACTCGAGACTGCCTCTCTTTGAATGCCGTTCAAGGCCTGTCAGTGAGTTGTCGGACCCAACGGTTGTTTGAAGAACCTCTGGACTTAGTCCGTAACTTCGTACAGATGCCTCCTGACGTGCCTTGGCGAGGGCTCTTCTGCAATCAGTTGTCTATTCCTTCCAACTAGAAACTGCTTGCATAGCATTGTGTTATTCTCCTTAATAGGGAGAATAAGGGCCTGGTCGTGCAAGTGATGTTGAGGCGAAATCAGAAGGCATCCTGCCTTTCTCCTGAGTGTCGTGTTTTGGCAAGTCTGCTGCTTCATCCACTGCGTCCTACTAGTCCCCGGTGACCGCACAGGCGCTGCATAGGTCAGAACCGGCCTTCCAATTGCCTTGTACGTTGCCAACGTTTCTTTGTCTTTGTCCCAGGTGCTGGTTCGTCATCGACGTGAATACCCAGTTGCAGTCTGACCTCCTTTGTCCAAGTGGTGAAAAGTATAGCTGAGGATTTTGTAGGGGAGGGGGTTGGGCTCTGTGCGTGAAGAAGCGAGAAAGATCGGCGATCATCAATCTCATTCCCAGATGCCATGATCGAGTATAACAGACAATGGAGACTCCTTTTGGTGGTTGAGGGAGCTTACAAATGTAAAAGTTAAACAGTGCTGGTGAAAGGACACCACCCTTTGAAACCCTGTTTTATTTTCCTAGGTTTGCTCGATTTGTCTCTAAAGGTTATTGACGAGTGACGACCATTCAGATAGGCCTCTGTGTCTTCTAGTAGCGTTGAATGGCTGACTGTGTAGAACGCCTTGGACGCTACTAGAATGGTTCTCTCACAGGGGCGGTTTCGGTTAAGGCCACAAGTTATCTAAGTATTTATGGCATTAAGTGCTGTTGTTGTGCTACGCCCTTTGCGAAACCCATGCTGATGCCTCACTTGGGCCAGGTGGTTTGTGTAGTGCGGGAGTAGAAGGGCTTTTGTGTCTTTGCTCTCCTTTGTTAGACGGTTTCCCCGGTTTATGCAGTGGGACTACTTTCCAAATTTTTCAGCATCAGCATGCAAATTACGTCGGGTCCAACGACTTTGGAGGCTGTCGCCTTCCCGATGGCTACCCTTATCTCACCGCTGGTGAAAACAAGAGGTGCACTTGGTGTTGGCAGTTTGTGCAGCCTTCTGGTCACTCGGCCTTTGGCTTTGTCCATCGGAGGGTGCAGTATGAACTGCCAGCTAAAATAGCTCGCTGCTCGCGCCGGATCCGACGAAGCGTCGTCGCCAAAATTTATTTCAACTCTGTCGTCACGGTTCGTCGGATTGGATAATGACCACACGGTTGACCAGAGCTTGCACACACCTGAGGAAAAGTTACAGGTCTTCAGGTGCTCTTCCCACTTCTTCCGCTTAAATATATACGTTCACTAGCTTCCGAATATCCGAGTTGAGATCCCTCTTACGGGGATTTCCGGGATCGGCCTGACGGAGGTTGTCACGCTCATCGGCTATAACAGCCGTTTTGGCAGAAAAATTCGGACGGGGGTCCGAAATGCATCTCGAGTGCAAAACTCACAACCAAAAACTCACCGAATAAAGAGAAGTGTACACAATTTTGACAGTTAAAACTCATTCTCGTCATTGACGTGTATTTCCTACTTGGACAAGGCATAAAGATCGACCTGAAATGAAAGATCCTGACATATAACGACAGGGAAGTGGCACTTAGAGTTGGTTACGACAACAAGGGGGTCAGTTACGCCGTGGTTATGCCACCAATATTAATTGGCAATCAAAAGAGAAAAATTTCGGTGATTGGTGAGAAGTGGTTACGCTCTGTTTGCTGATTGGCGAGCACAGGGTTGCTTCCTAAGAAATGCCTTTTTCCATTTCATACAATTTCGCACACAATGGCAGAACTGAAGTAAAAATGCAACTTAAAATGCTTCAAAATTTAAGTCGGAAAAGAAAAATGGAAGAACAATTTAATATTTTTTTTTATTTAATATTTAATATTTATAATATTTTTTTTATTATCTACTTTATAAGAATAATAAAGAAATATTACTCTACTTTATTATAATAATAAAAAAATATGCTTTACTATATTAATATTTAATACTAATACTTTTTCGCAAAATAGCGTATTGCCACCCTGAAAAATTGACTTGCTGGCTGTTGGGCACCACGGTGAAGAGCATTTTTGTTCCAGCTGAATCGGACGATATCATTTTTGGAGGCCTAGGGGCAGATTCTATAACCAGTTAGCGACAATTTTCGAAACGGTATCGGGTTTGTTGACGTATGATATGAAATATTGTTACACCAACAAGTACGATATCGATCCGAAACTTGTCGCTAACTGGTTAGATCTCCCCCCTGAAAAGCTTCTTCATCCCTCAAAACATTTTTCTTGAACCTTGGATCGACTAAGGTTAAAACTGATAAAATAATATTTTTCTGTGGCGACAAGTTCAAGTGTTTTAGCCGATATCATATAAAGTAGTAATGAAAGTTTTTTCTAAACCTGAAATGCATATAATGGCGAGGGTTTAATGTAAATAATCGGTATCGGATACCGAAAAGGAAGTATAGGGTACCGAAATCTTTTTTAAGTATTGGGTACCGAGTATTGGGGACAATTCAGCACATCACTAGTCGCCCTCATTCTCGCCACTCTCAGTTGTCAACTCTACGATGACGTCACGCTAAAATTACTCTCACGAATTCTGCTGCAATCGGCGGAATCTTGTATTCTATCATTCTTGAGGCAGTGTGAAAGTCTTATTTTTATCAAGATTCAATAATACAAGGTCGGATAAATATTGACATTTGTGTCAATCGACTGCCTTGTAAGGTTGCATTTGAGAAGGAAAGAGAAGCGGGTAACAATTTTATCTCCTTTTGTGAAAAGGTAGTAGGAAAAGTAAGTAGTCTGGTAGTGCTGAAATGCGTTTTTGTATACAAATTAAATTAAATATATTAAGAAGATTCCACTGATTTACACAATAGACAATAAATTAACTTTTTATGGCCACATAAATATTAAAAATTAAATAAATGGATATTAACATAAAATTCTTGCCAAAGAAAAATCTTTGAAATCTTTGAAGAAATGTTCCCAAATATTCAAAATAAACCATGGTTTCATTGCAATTCCAGTATATATTAAACAAAATTAATGGAATTCAAACAAATCCTTTATTCAAAGTGACTATATGAAGTATTGTACAAATAGTAAAGATGCAATTGATTTAATGCATACAAATTAATGTTTTAAAAGTTATTATATTCGTTGCATTTAAAGATTACATGTTCAATATCTTAAATTGAATTACATTTGGTTTTTTTAATTTAAATTTTTTAGTAATGTTTTCTACTTTTTCAGCCAATCAGTCTTGCTAAGCATTATATTGGTTACATTTAAAAGTTATATCTTCAATAGCGCAATGTTAATTTTTTGTAATGTTGTGTACTTTTTTCTGCAATCAGTCCCAATGAGCACAAGAAAATATCTTTATTAATATTTCCACTTTCGCTTTTATGGAGTGGTATACTTACTTGTAAATATGCAAAGACTGCACTTGACCAACCCAAACGCTGCAGTGGTAAAAATACATGCATCAGCAAACGTGGACGGACAACCAAGTGATCCTGACCTTCACAAGAGAATATATTTATTAATATTTGTATTATCTGCACCAGCCATACGTGGACGGACACACAGGGATCCTAACATGCAAAACTTACTTGCAACGGCTGCACTTGTTGTAAAAAGCTACTTTTTGAATACAAATTATGAATAACTCCGATACCCTGCAAACAAATATGTAAATTATTGTTGTAATTCAAAATATTTCCACTATTTTTGATTTTTTTGCCATACTTACTTGAATTTGCCCAATAAGAAAATGAATTTCCACGAAACAATCGACGAAAATATCGGCAGTGTTGCCTGTTGAACTTTTTATACGAAGACAATATTTTTCCTTGTATTTTAGTAGTCGTTTCTACAAATCAAAAAAGAAGGCAACACAGGCTAAGGCAGAATGCGGGAGCGAGACGACTGCCAGGTTATCCAACCAAGAATGATAGAATACAAGATTGCGCCAATCGAGCTGAGAGTAACTGGCCGTGACGTCAATAAATACCAAAATGAGAGAGCAAGACGAACTCAACAAGAAAAAGAGGAAGCATCGAACAAAAGGCAGTATTGCCAAGTTTTGAATTTGAAAAAGCACCAAATATTTATTGGTGTATTTTATGGACTTTATATGCATACATAATTATATTGTAAGGATGGCGATTCAAATTAATAAAAATCAATGTTTCTTGCACGACGGTCGATTTCTTCTGGCTTGATTGAAGGTGCTGCCACATATTTTGTTGTCGCTTATGATTGTGCCATGATTTTATTTAAATTTTTGTGAAGTTGCTTACCACGCTTATGATTGCTATAAATTTTGCTTCCATTTTTTTAAGATTTTATAATTTGGTGTCTTCAAACTAAAAACAAAAGCACCAAAAACGCACCAAGCACCAAACTCAAAAATGTTCGCGTTTTGAATACCCACTAAATTTGGTGCGAAAAGCATTAAGTTGGCAACAGTGAATGTAAACAAAAGTATTTTATGACGTCAGCGATTGGGTGGATGCTGTCAAATCGACGATGAGAGGGTTAGCAGTCCGCGAATGGCGCGACCTTTATTTTCTGGATTGTGTTATCCAACCTTGTATTATTGAATCATGGTTGCGAAGTGAGTTTTGATTGGCTGAAATAGTTTAGGAAGAGGGAGAGTACACAAAACGCAGAAAATATAGTTGCCGTTTAGCATATATTCGGAATCCTAATCAAATGGGCATTTTTGATATAAAATCGTGGCAAAGCTTATTATAACAACATAAAATGTTATAACTTCACGTAAAACTGGATTAACGTAATAATATTCGTACAATAGTGTCAAGTGAAATGTAAATCGAATGCTTATGGAAATTTGCTGGTGATTTTATTCTTGTAAGTGAGCAGAACGCACTCGCGCATTTAAAAAGCGTTCATAACATTGGCAAAATTTCACTACCGGGATTGCAATTCATCTTAAGACATACGGTAAAACCTAAAATTACTCTTTTCAGCGTAATTTTTGCAATCAAAAACAGCGCACTTAAATTTTTCAATAGTTTAAATAAACTCAAAGATGCAGAAAAATGCACAAACTTCAACGCAAATTGTCAAACGGCAAATAGCAGGGTTACACATATTTGAAATAAAACGTGATGTATTTTTGACTAAAATAGTGTATTTTTATAAGATATCTTTTTTATGAATCTTGCAACTCCAAAAATTGATCCATCTACGTCATCAGGATGGCGGCCATGGCTGATGTCGTAATCTTGTATTCTATGAACCTTGCTTTGTTAGCTTCAGGCATGCGCAAAGCAGAGTTGCCACAAAAAACTACCAAATTCCTCAAGTACAAATGAAAAATCCTCAAAATCCGAACAAATTACTCAAAATCTTCTTGTTACAGATATGAGTATTTATTGCATACTATTTACAGGTATTTAGCATAAAAAAAATAATTACATTCTCCAAATCAATTGGTACATTTGTTCTTGCGGTTCAAACAAAGTATCACCCTTATTTTTTATGGTTTGTATATAATATTGCTGCAACTATATCAGTGCTCAATCTGGTTCTCAAGTCAGTCCAACATATTTTTAAATTACTAAATATACGTTCTACTGAAGCGTTAGAAAAGGGCTATATTACACTGAGGGAAAAAAATTTTAGAACTAAAAAAAAACGTACTAAATTTAAAAAAATACGCATATGAAAGAGCACCAACCCAACTCGTTTTAAATTTGAGTATGTACGTTATAAAATATGTCGTTGTGAAGTGTACAGATGCTTTTTCGTAATTAAGAAGAAAAAAAGAATTTTTTATGTTCCGTCTGATGGCAATTGAGCCCGGACTAGAGCTGGAAAACTATCAATGGGTTTTGACTCTCGAAAACATCAATAGTTTTGTAAGCACTATCGATAGTTTTCACTCATACATATATTTTTCAGTACAGCAGTGTTTACATTGTTCAATTTTAAGTTCACCATTTGCGTTCAACTCAACGCAGGGTTGCACGAAAAAAAGTTGAATGGCTAAGGGCCGGTTACTCAATGTCTGGTTAACACTAATCTCTGGTTAAACATCTTTATCGACGTTACCGACTCCCTGTTATATGAATGGAGTCGAATACGTTGATAACAATGTTGAACCGGACATTAGTGTTAACCAGACATTGAGTAACCGGCCCTTAATGTTGGCTGGCGACCAACTTTGTTGAAAGCAATTAGTTGAAAGGCCATTTAACCAAAAGTTGGGTGCAAAGATGAACAATGCAAATACGTTTTTATGGCGAATAATTTGATGTTTTTTCATATTTTGATATTTCTAGCCATTCAACTTTTTTTCGTGCAACCCTGCGCTGAGTTGAACGCAAATGTTGAACGCAAAGTTGAACAATGCAAAAACACTTTAAGAGTAAAAGCCGGCGGTACCTGCTTCATCTTGTGAGTCGGAAGAGACATTTAGCAAAGCAGAGCAAATAATTTTGGAGCACAGACGCTGCTTAAAGCCAAAAACTGTTAGTAATTTTAACGAAAGTATGGAAAAATTTTATCAATTCTGATCTCATTTTCAATCAAAGTTAAAAATAACAATAGAATAAGAATAAATAAATAAATAAATAAATAAATAAATAAATAAATAAATAAATAAATAAATAAATAAATAAATAAATAAATAAATAAATAAATAAATAAATAAATAAATAAATAAATAAATAAATAAATAAATAAATAAATAAATAAATAAATA